AGTTCAGTGTCTACCTCTTCCTTCCGCACCTCGTAAGTTGAGTCCTCCCTCTAACTCTAGGTCAGTGTAGAATTCACTCATAGGGATTTTTTGTAAAACTATTTACTGTTCCTTAATTCGGGAGAGTCATATTGAAGGGGAACATCCAATAAACGATTATATAGATGCCTACAATGTCCTTGTAATTGTTTTACGGTCCTTCAATAAACATCAAAATCTACACGGAATTTCGAAACACTAACGATTATTTCACCTAATATCAAAGTGGCTTTTAGTTTTGCCCTATAAAAACGATTATGAGGATGGTGTTTTGTAGACTGGCGACTTTTCATGAAATTAAACAAAAGTTTTGTTTCTGATTGTCAAAGGAGTAGTTTTGTTGGGAGACGAAAGAGGAGTCCGTGGGGTTGTAAACGCCGAAGGTGTTTAATAAAGATACTGTAGTCTGGTCCCACAAGACCACGAACTCATGCGGGTGCACCACTTTACATGTGTTCCTCGCGATGTCTCTACACCTTTATAACTACTGGTCGCCGTGACGCTGTCATTCTGTACTACACGAAGAATTTCCGTAAAATAAACGCCGACCAATAACAAATCAGTCACTTTGGATGCAAACCTTAAAGAATTAGAGGAAAGTTAGGAACGACACGACACAAGTATTCTCTCAAACTGGCTAGATGTTAAATTAAAAAAAATAGAACTTTTTTATTCATAAGAATTTCAAGAATAACAGTGATAATTGCATTGTGAGAAGATGTAAAGAATCATGTACCTCCTCTATAGCTCCGTGCCGTCGACAAACATACACGGCTACTTTCCCTTTCACTAAGTAGCCTATAGTTCGGTCTCTTAGACGAAGACCCCGAAGAGCACCTCTCGAACTTTTAACGGCTAAAACCTACCAGGCAGGGTAGCGGGGAAGAGATTCCACTCCTAGGTCATATTTCAAGATGCACAAATGTCTCGACCCAGGAGTTATGATTACCACGTGCTACGAACAACGACGAAAAAGAATCAGTGAAGAACAAAAATTTTAGGAGGTCCCGCAGCATTGTTACACGCCCTGGAGACCCTGATGGAGGGCAGGTCTCTACTGAACTCGCCGTTTAGTGTCACTCTTCCACCTGGACACCACGCAGCCCCAGGGAAGACGCATGCTTCGACGCCAGCCCTGGGTGGAAAACTTGACCGTCGGTAAGTCTTTGCATGTTTCTTAAATGCTTCCAACCACAACCTTTTTATACTTACAACTCCAATTCAGAAAGATCCTTCGCAAAACTATCATTTGTAGGCCGTCTTTACATAAATTGGTAAACCTTTAATTGAAATCTAACAAGGGAGATATAGTTCCCCCAGTTATATTCATGTGTCGGACCCGGTTATAATTTCTTTACCATGATCAGCTCCCGGGCTTGAACCAAGTTACAAAATAACTTTACTTCAATAACGTGTATAATTTGACCCTTGATTGCTTCGAATTTAATAACGTATTTTATTATTAATTGTAGTCAACGTAAGTTACGTCGAAAAGTGTCCAGTAAGAATACTAATGTAACAAAGGTGTCCGTTGTTGTCGAATTTTTTTGTTTAAAGGAGTTTCTTTGTTTTGAGTCCTACGACAGTGCCACGACGGCCTGCAGCGACTTCAACCTCGCAAGGTAGACATTTCCAAATTTGTCCTTTCCCCAGAGGTCGACCGATGTCAAAGTCATTGATGGAGATTTTCCTTTGAAAGTAAAAAAGATGGATATTTATACTCATTTTAACCACTTTGATTTGGGAAAGCATTACAAAAAACACAACTGGCAACAAAAACGTGATGTTCTTAAGGGTTATACGTACTTTGCGACAGCACTGGAGGATGAGCCAACACACTGTCGCCCTGGGCCTGAAATGATAATACAATTAAAACTGGAAAATGTCTTATGGTTTTTGAATGTTATTTATTGAAGAGGCAGGTAATGTTACCTGTAATGGCATTTTTGTCAATCTCTGCTCGTGGTTTCACCTGAACGCGCTGTGGGCCTGCCACCATGCTTGGGGTTGCGAACTGTTATACAGAAGCAAACACAAATAATAAGAAACCCATTGTTAAAATGTTGTTCCAGCCAATAATAGTTTCTGATTTATTTTGATACCAATATTGGCATGATAAATGGTCAGTTGTAGTTCAATTTATTAAATATTGCTTGATCCCAGCGGGAAATATATATGTATATATTTAGTTTGACATCTTACCGGTCTTGTGAAACCCCTGGGCTCATCATTTTCCTTATTCTGTAAAGAAATAAATACAGCAATCACATTAATTTACCATACAATTGAACTTAATGCATATTTTCTTGTCATTCAGACTCTAAACTGGGGTGAAAGTTCAAACCTATATGCTGGAAGACTCCGAATTGTTAACAGATTACTTTTTAACGGTGCACTTTAAAATGTCCCTTTTTAACTATTTTCCCCACGTCGTACTTAATAGTGAACCTCATTTGATCACAAACTATTTTGTGCTCAAATTAAAGATGTGTACAGTTGGATATACACTTTAGAGTCAGACAATCTGTACTAGTGCAGTGGATTGTGTGTTTTTTGTATTATAGTGTACATTTTCAGCAACACGTTGGAGAAGATGTGCCGTTTGATATTGATGCACGGTTTTACTACGTTGTATAAGGATAACAAAGGCGCATTTATTGTCAAATATATTCTAACACCAGATGATTGCCATATTCCTAGTCACTGCATGCATTATTTAAATAGCTACAGGTGTTTCCTGTGGATTCCGTATGTAGGCTACGTTTAAATGTTAACGTAGAAGTTTGTTTTTTTCAAAATGAGAAAGGTCCAGTAGGCCATTGTTAGGCTACGGTACGCTAACGTTGGCTCCCTGGTCTGAGGTTGGGTGTAATGCAGGGACTATGTAACCTACTAATCCGGTTCATTTGGATTAAACCACAGTTGCTATTGTAAATAATATCCACGTACGTTATATACGGCTTTTAACAGAATATAACGTGGCGTAATGATAAATTAGCTTAAGCTAACTTATTTAGCAAAAACCTGTTGCCTTTTACACCTTTCAGAATTGGCGCGTATTGCGAATCTTTTGTTGCCCTAATCTAGTACAAGGTCTTATTTCTCTATCAAAGATTTAAAAAAAATAGATTTACCTGCATTGTAGAGAAGGATGAACGTATAAACGTTTCAGTAAAGAAACCCCAGAGTTACTATTTTGAACTACCTCCGCCGCCAACGTTTTAAAACTGTCTTGCACGCACCTGATTGGCCGGATTTGTTGCATGTGATTGGTTTACAATGACGTCAGTAAGACGTCGACCCGCCCTACTAATCCATGGATGGATGTATAGTTCCCTACCTATTTATAGAGGAGTGTCCTATCTTCTCGGTACATTACTTTTGTTTTCTTCATAAGCTTGGCACCTTATATAAACAGTTTATGGCCTGGCCACATGAACCTAACCTAATCATATTCATATGTAATACAACTGAATAAATGTGTGATATATCAATATATTTGATCACATTACACGTTTTTTTTCCCTAATATGCATAAATGTCAGTCTATCAAGCAAAACTTAGATCTTTTATGGAATTTGTAGTATATGGTGCAATTAGAAGAAGAAAAAAAAGACAAATGATACAAAATATGTATTTGTTCAAAATAGTTTTATTCAGAACAATTCCTAATATGTATTCTACAGAGTGATAAAATGAAAATGGTTGGTATCAATGCATCACAATTAATTTCAAAGACATACATCTTCCATGTTTTCCACTATTGAATAGGCAATGGTTTTCCCAATAATACATTAATGGTTTTCAATAACACATCAAACAGACATTAACAATTACCATTTCTTATTTCTACAAATAAAATTGAAACAGAATTGGGACTTGTTAAAGACTTATTTAAATATCCCTTGCTGTTTTGTTGTCAAACCAAAACCAAACACCTGCTTGTATCAGATGTTGATGTTTTTTCTGATTGTATACATTGTGAAGCGAAGGAACAGGAAACAGGTGCCAGCGGTATGCTCCTGTTATACGCCTGCTTGTGGCTTCACCCTCTAGCTGTGACAGTTTCATATTGTGTTATTTTAGTGTGACTTTAAAGAGTACATATGAATAACCTTGAAGACAGTCTTCTTATTTCATACATCAAGAGCTTCTCATTTCGTTTTCCATAATGGTTTTTATAACGTACTTCACAATATGTATCACCATAAAAAAAAAAGTAAGCTTTTATTCAAGTTTGAAGAACAATGTTTGGAAAATATTCTGTTAAAACCAAATAGATATGTATGGATGTTAAACAAATTATGGCCCTGAATCATATTAAACATTTTGCTTACCAAGAAACCAACCATTTTTTATTTGCAAAGTTGAAATCAGATTTTACTCCTCTTGCTTTCGAGGTTGACAGATTATTAAAAGGTGGCAAAACAGTCTTAAAAGCCTGGACAAGTAGACCAGTTGGTGGACTTTCTTCAGTATAGTTTACTTCAATTTCATCAGTATTACACAGTAAATGTTTTGACAGCGATCATTTTTAAAATGTATAAATTAAAAGATCTGATTGCGATATCTGGAACCTGCTTTACTTCATTTGTGATATCTTGTCGTATCATATATATACGCATTACACAACAATACAAACTGAAGTTGTTTGTTGTATTTATAACGCTACATAAAATGACATATGCTTTTGTAAAAGGGAACTGTATCTCTATTTGCTACTGCCTGTATAATGAAGTAGTAGAGATTTAGTCTGGATTAATCTGAACAGAGCAGTTGGTGAAAACTACAGTGCATGATGGCAGCAGGGCAGCCAGTGAGCGACGCAAACTGGGTATGGGATCGTTTGCATCTAGTGTCCTGTTCTCATCATTGTTGTTATCTCCACCTGCTGCTTCATCATTGTCCTGCTCTTCTCCTCCTCCACCACCACCCTCTCCCTCCACTACAGGTGGACACTGTGGAGGCTGGAAGATCACGTCCAAAAACTCCAGCCGGCGGAGTCCACGGAGCATCCTGCAGCTCCGCACTATCTGCATCTTGCTGAGCGTGCAGGCCCACAGGCACAGACACTTCAGGTCCTTCAGACGGCTGGCGCAGAGCAGGCCCGGCCCCACCTCCTTACCCCCTAGACTCAGCTCCTCCAGGCCAAGCCATCCTGCCCCCAGCCCGAGGGAGGCCATCTGTAACTGGTAGCCTTGCCGCCCAGTGATGCCTATTTCTAGAAACTTGAGTCTGGAGAGGCCTTCCACACCACAGACGCCCTCCTTGGCAGCACTGCTCCTGAGCCCGTTTGCTGTTACACGAAAGGTGTCGCGCAGCTCCAAGCGCCTGAGCCTCTCCCATGTTGTCAGACTCTGCAGATGCTGGTCTGTGAAAGAGGGCACGTTGTTGAGGACTAACGTATCAATGCCAATCCCTGATGGAGAGGTTTGCCCTTTTCCTTTCTGATCCCTTCTTTTCTGTTGAGCACCAACACTGGATGTGGCTTCTGGTGTTTCTTGGGAACTAGCAGGGGAAGTCTGGTTGAAAAATTCTCGCGGCAGCTCACAGCCACGCAGCTCCAGGATCTGCAAAGATGGAGGGAGGAGCTGGCAACTGGGGAGGCCTCGCAGGTCTGCGTGCAGAAGATAGAGCTTACTCAGGCGAGGGCACTTCGTGGACAAAGCTTTTAGCCAGGACTCAGACAGAAAGGTTCCCCCTCGGGCAGAAAGAAGCAAACCACGCAACCGCAGGCACCGTAGACCACAACCCAGGTACTGACGCAGCAGGAGCCAGAGTATGCGGGATGTTACCTAGCACACAATGGACAGTCCATGTATGTGTTGAGTGGGGGGGAAGGGAGGCAAAAGAGACAGTTTCAGTCAATATTGCACAGACACAGAACCTGTATGAACAGTATTTTCTTCAAGAGAAAACTGAACATTTTTATTTTATTTTAGCATTACCTAATGAGGCATAAGAAAGTAAAGGTGAACACATATTTCTGAGTCATGTCCGGACACGAAGCCTCTGATAGAGGTTGCTGTTTCTTCTTTGTCTTTTGTTTTGTTTTTTACAGACGTTCAACACTTTAATATACGTTTCTCAATGACACCAAGTCTCTTGACATGGTTGTTAGATTTCAAAGACAGAGAGTAGAGCCTTTTCTTCATAACTATTTGGTGAAGTGTTATAGGTACAGTACATGTGATTATAATGTATAAGAAATTGTACCTTTTTAGAGGCCACTTGCTAAGATTGCTTATACTTGTTTATTTATGTGTATTTCTATTGTGACAAGTATGTAGAAAGAACCACTGCCATACACCACAGCCCAAGATAATTTGCAATATACGTGCTTAAATTGGTCTTTAAAATAAAAATACGTAAGAGAACAAACAAACTCAACAATAGAGACTCGAATATGATAAGGTGCCATAAAACAAGAGACGTCATTCATGACTACATGTTTGTTTCATTAATGACATGGCTATGTTCCCTACATAAATGTAACACCACACTATGAAAGGATTAATGGAGAGAAAAAAGGTGAAGCCACATCGCCGGTAACACTCTTACCCCTTTCCATGTAGTCAGATCCACAAGTCTCCACAGTCTTTGGTCTTTAACGAGACGTTTCCATCTCTTACACACTCTAAGAAACACCGTAAAAAAACAACAAATAACTTCATCATGTGACATAAATGAGTCACAACAAAAGACACAGTTTTCTTTCCCAAGACGAATAACTGGTTAAAACAGATGTCAGCAAAGTTAAATGTATCTTACCTCCCGGCTCTGACAACCTCTCGTACGCTCAAAAACGACAAGACATCAATTAAGATATTTTCCGGGAAATAGTCCAGGTTACAGGCTTTATATTCATCCATTTTGTAAACAAAACTATTAAAGCCTTGAACACGGACTGGTATCCCAGCGCACACAGGATGTGCTATCTAAGCTAGTCCCCCGGAAACATGTCCCTCCCTCCGCGGAAGGACCGAGCAGCAGTTAGCCTGCAATATCTTGGACTTCTTTATGTGAAAAACACAGAAACACAGCTTGTCTCAGATCACATCAGCCTATATTTATGTGAAACTGTGTAATAGGACAGTAACTATGTGGAACAGCTTGTTTGACAAGATTATGATCTTTTTGATAACTTAAAAGACACAATCTCGCAGACAATACAAAGTAAAATACATGTATTCAAAACTTACAAATAGATAAGGAGGATTTATATACTAAATGATATAAATACGGTGGAGGAAAGTAACTAAGTACATTTAGTTCAATGTTGTACTAGTGCGAAAGTACTAGAAATAAAGTAAAAAAATTAAAACCGATGCGGACACTTCCTGCAACACTGCCACCTAACGGTTGTTGACGTGAAGAGCGCACTGCGCCTGCGCGGATTACCGGACAAGATGGCGACCAGCAATGGTGGAGGAATGGAAGTGGATGGGGCAGGCGAGTATTTCTCACTTATCGCAACATTTCTGCCTGATATTAACACAAACACCATAGCATATGTCCTACATGTGTGTTATGGGTGTGTGTAAGTGTTGATTTAGTGATGTTTAAGGTGGTAGTTGGCTAGCTTGCTGACATAAGCGGGCTAACGTACACGGCTCTGCTATAAAGCTGTCAACAAATGCATCACTTTGTGGTGTTTCAATCCGTATTTTCATATATTTTCTTGCTTTATTACTCGAGTTAGCGTCAGGAATATAAACATAAGTCAGTCCGCTCAGGTAGGATTGATGTAAAACATACTGACTAGTCATAACAACAACCCAATCTCTATTTAAGGCTGTTCCGCTGTCCATGTGATGAATGGGCCTATCTAGCTTTCAGTAAATGTATATCACATATTTGTATTGAACCATAGAAGACTATACATACAGTTTATTATTGTGTTAATACTCATTTAAATTAAGTTCATGTGCAAACATTCAGAGATATAAAAAAGATAATATCAAATGTATAGTAAGTATTTTGAGATTGGAACAGTAATATTTAAAAAAACGTTTTATTTGAGGGGGCCTTTCGCCATACCTAAGGTCTCCGTACAGTTCAATACATGCTCAAAAAGATTAAAACATGATGAGAAAACATAGGACAAACATTCATAATGATCAAATTATGGAACTTTTTTACAAATAAATGATCAAATAAATCTATAGACCAATTCTGAGAAAAACTAAAGCTCTAAATCTGAGAATAGGAACATGATTTGTGTAATGCAGTCTAAAGACCTATTCATTGTCCTTTTTTAACCCCCAAATCAATGAAAATATGTGATAGTATTGAATATTGCATTGACAAAATAACTCGCAATAAATCAACAATTATTAAAGTCTACGTAGCCCTGGCTCCCTGCTGGTTTTATTAAACGTTTAAAGTCTTATAATGTTGAAATGTAATGTATCTATCTGTGTATTAAGCTAGTACTGGCCTAAACACCATTACCACATAAATGATTGTTATAATCGATTGGATTCAAACACACATCAATGAATGGAGTTTGCAAAAATTCTATTCATCTATTTCAGCTACTGTATGTCCTGATATATATGTATGTGTTTTGTTTTCTGATTGTCTGATCAATCCTCTAAAAGCTGTCAGTAAATGACTGAAAAATGTGACGTTGTAAATGAGCTTGTTTTGTAATTTTGAAGTAGATGTTAAAGCTCCTCTTGTTGTGTCTCTGTTGGACTGTAGCCAGCCCCAGTGTTATGGCTGCAGGCGTCACCGGCAGCGTGTCTGTGGCCTTACACCCTCTGGTGATCCTCAACATATCCGACCACTGGATACGCATCCGCTCTCAAGAGGGACGTCCAATGCAGGGTATGTAAGACAGCTCTATTGAAAGAGAGATGGCACGTCAACAGTCATTTAATGCACGAGTTAATGTTGTATTTCCCGTTCAGTTATTGGCGCCATGATCGGGAAGCAGGAGGGGAGAAACATCGAGGTGATGAACTCCTTTGAGTTGCTGTCCGTCACCATAGATGATCGGGTACACATTGACAAGGAGTACTACTACACCAAGGAGGAACAATGTACGTAGATTGTGTCTGAATGACAAAAAAACTACTCTTTTTTTTTATTTTTTATTCTCCTTTCATTATTTTAAGAAATGTAGTAAAGCCATGTCTTTTGTCTTGGCATAAGATCTCGTAAAAATGTCATTAAAAAAGCATACTAGTAGTGCATAGTAGCTTTATCAAAGGACTGCAAATGATATTCACTCATTGAAAAATGTCTACGGTGCTTATTACAGAAGTTCTCGTGCTTGCTGTAGTTCTTATTTTATATTTCATTTTGTCTCTCAGTCAAACAGGTCTTTAAAGAGATGGAGTTTTTGGGCTGGTACACCACAGGCGGACCCCCCGACGCATCAGACATCCACATTCACAAGCAGGTACGCAAAAGTGGCGATATGTACATCAATGTTGTTGTTGGTAATACATAGTCATCTGTCCAAGGGTAAATACTATTTGATGTAAGATTCATCCAAACTTAATGGCTATATCGAGTGTGACAAATTCCTTTTTGGGTTTCTGCTCTCAAAATTAAATATCTAATTCAGTGTTTCCCTCCAGACCAGGGCTGAGAGGGGGGTGCTTGAATTTTGAATCGAGCCGTCTCTTATAGATACTGTCTCTTTATGTTAGTGAGCCGGATCATTTGGCTCGGCTCTCTTAAAGCGCCGGCTGTTTCGGCTTCCAAACAGCTCTTCATGTTACAGGGGTAGACATTAAGGGTAAAATGCCACTTGCCCTCCGGGCCGGTGGAGTTGTATTATCACTGGCCCCACCATTGTAACCACTGGCCCCACCATGTAACCACTGGCCCGGAGCATTCGTCCAAAAACAATCGACTAATAATGAAGAACAATGAACACATTTGTTGCAATAGTAATTTATGCACTAACTACATTACTACTTGTACTACAACATTTGAATCATCAGTTCTTCCTCATTTTCCTCAATTGTTCATATTTGGTTTATTAAAATAATGATATTGTGGTCATTGTTCAAAAATGTCTGCTATTATTATGAGTATTATTATTAGTATAATGCGCTTTCTGTCTTCCTGTCATTATCAGGAGTTAGACATGTAATGGCTATGTATTAGATTAGATTAGAACCTTCATTCTCCTAAACTGCTGGGACATTTCCCTATAGCCAATACCTTTTATATTTTCTACTCTTCACTTACTTGTCAGCATAGGTCGGCATTGATGTACAGAGCCGACAGAAGACCTTGNACCATGATTACAAATGGTGAAATACAATGTAAAATTACCGAAAAAATACCAGCTCACTAAAACACAACCGCTCAAACCAAC